TGCATTTACTGCTTTTCGTCTTCAGGTTCACAATCCCTTTCATATTTTGGGGAGGAATATTCTGATCTCACAGTCACTCGGCCAATAAGTGGGAGGCTGAGGCAGGAGGCTGAGGCAGGAGGCTGAGGCAGGAGGATACTCACGAATTTGAGGCCAGCCTGGGCTACACAGTGAGTTCAAGGACAGCCTGAACTACATAGTGAGACTCTGTCTCTAAAACATATATATATATATATATATATATATATAGATAGATAGATAGATAGATAGAAAGATATATATAGGTTGTGGGTGGGGATATAGCTCAGTGCTAAGGCATTGCTGGGTTCAATTCTCAGTATTGCTGGGTTCAATTCTCAGTACTGCTAAAAGTGAATAATAGAAAAATTTGAAAAGTGCTGCCCCTGGGTTCAATCCTGTGGGAAAAAAAAATACTCCTTAACAGATTTTACACAAGTTTGAGAGATAGCCATTCCTTTATTTCTCCAGCCACCCCATTAGAGATTTCCTGGGTGCCCTCTGTGCACCTGGCCCAGCTCCAGTGGGTGGATGAAGAGAAGGAAGAACAAACGCTGTTCCTCCAGGCCAGCATCCGGTGCAGAAGGAGCTCGAGGGTGCAGGCCGCACACAGCCCAGTCTGTGCTACGGGCAGTGTGCTCCTTTGAGCAGATGTGCATACTGGCAGCTCAGTACATGGGAACGCAGTTCAACCAAGGCACGGGCAGCAGGATCATTAAAGGGAATGAGAACAGTGACTTCCTCAAAAGCAGAACCACAGCAGCTCACAGGTCTGTGGTGATGAGGAATTAGTTCCAAGTTCTAATTGCCTAGTGCGCCCCTGCTCAGGTCAAATCCTGGAAACAGAGTTTGCGCGGCTTCCTCTAACGTGTGGTGGAGTGGTGTCAGAGGAGGATGAATCTATTTAGGTCTAACTCAGCACTGACTGGTTATGGGAACAAACAACAGAGCATTTTGTTATTTCTTGCCCCAAAGCCTGTCAGTGTCATGCCCCTGGCTACAATGCAAGCAAGATGTCACCTACTGTCCAATTCGCACCTGGTTCCCTCAAATCGCAACACCACATCTGACTGAAACTGCTTTCTTGATAGACATTTTTAGGAAATTTTTTTTTCTTTTCTTTTTTTGGTGGTTGTGTTGGGGATGGAGCCAGGAGCACTGAGTTACTAACTAGATCCTTGGCCCTTTTCACTTTTTTTTTTTTTTTTTTGGTATTGGGAATCAAATTCAGGGCCTCGAGCTTGCCAGGCAGGTGCTATGTGGCTGAGCTACATACCTGGATCAACTTTTAAAATTCTGAGACAAAATCTTGATAAATTGCTCAATCTGGTCCTAAACTTGTGATCTCCTGCCTCGGCCTCCACAGTAGCTGGGATTACAGGTGTACTCACCTAATTTAATGTTTGATCAATCATCTATATAAAATGCCTTTTTCCATTTACATGAATGAAATTTTACACTTTAGGCCAGGTGGGTGTCACATCCTGGAATCCCAGCATTCTGAGAAGTGAGGTGATGTGACCACCAGTCCGAGCCCAGCCAGGGCAATTTATGAGACGCTGTCAAAAAAAAGGAAAGAAAGGAAAGAAAGAAAGGAAAGGAAGGGAAGAAAAGAAAAGAAAAAGAAGCAAAGAAAGAAAGAAAAGGGCTGAAGATATAGCTGAGTTTGAAGGTCTAGGTTCATCCTCAGTGCTAGCGGGGAAAAATTCATTTTAATGAAATTTTCATTGTGATCAGTTTTTGTGTAAGTATCTTTTTTTTTTTTTTTTTTTTTTTTGGTACTGGGAATTGAACTCAGGGCCTCGCGCTTGCCAGGCAGGCGCTGTACCGCTGAGCTACGTCACCGGCCGAATATTATCATTTTTGTCCACGTACCTTTTAGTGATGATACCTGTGCCTGTAAGTGTTCCAGGAAGTCTCCCTGCCCACGAGGCTCAAATGGTCCTGTCTAACTCCTGTACGTAACGTTCCATCGCTACCGTTCTTTCTGAACTGGGTAGAAGGGCGCAGCCGACCGCGGGGAAAATGGTGCCCAGGCTCTGCTCCGACCCCTCCGCCAGCGGTCCGCAGCGCGAGCGCGAACCGAGATGTCGCAGTGCCCTTTTCCACCGGTTTCAAAGCACCGCAAAGCGGCGCCGCTCACGCTGGCGGCGCTCTTCGGGGGACGTCGGGGCGGCTGGCCAGGGGGAAGGCGCGCCTCGCCCGCCCCTTCCTTGCGGCGGAGCGCGGAGCGCAGGCCGGGCGG